TTCCAAACCACACAGTCACAAAACCAACAAGTAAACTCTCAATGGTGCAGCGATAAAAGTTAAGCAGAATCTTAGAGTTAGTGGTAAATTCTCTAAGTTTCCGCAAAAAGAAGAGCCGCTGACGAGCTTTCTTGACAACCCGGTTAGTATTTTTGTCCCATTTCAGGTCGTTAGACAGTTAAACCCAGAAACTTGCACTCCTCTACGATCTGCACCTGGGAGTTCTCAATAACAACAGGAGTGAGAACTGTTACGACTGAAGTCAAAAACAAGTTCACATATTTTTGCAGTGTTCAGCTGGAGATTGTTTACTTTACTCCACTGAAAAACATGTTCGATCTCTGCTCTATAAGAGGATTCATCATTATCACTGATGAGACCGATGATGGTGGTGTCATCAGCGTATTTGACGATCAAGTTTGAGTCAGAGGAAGACACACAGTCGTGAGTGTACAAAGTAAAGAGTAGAGGACTCAAAATACATCCCTGAGGAGAACCAGTGCTCACAGAAACAACATCAGAAAAGCAGGTCAAATTACTTCTGTAATTCAAAAATGTGAATCTGATACATGCCAGACCTATTTACATGGGATCTGAGCAATATCAAGCCTTTATATGTTATAATGTTGATGATTGTAAAAACCCCAAATAAAACATCTCAGAAAATGTGAATGTTTTGATAACCATTAAAGTCTTTACAAAAAAAGCTTAGCATATGAAGTCAGTATCATAATGAGTCTATACCATATGTTGGGTTCCCTTAAATTACAGCAATAAATGAACTTATGAACAATATTTTACTTTACTTTACTATATCAGCAGGGGTAGCTTTGGGAGTGCATTCATTTTTAAATTCATAAATTAAACACATAATGAATAATAATTTTTTGTAAACTCATGTTATGTGACTCATGTGGGTGGGTGGTCATCCTTTCTTCAATTGCCTGTTCACAAAATGCCAATCAAAAGCTGTTAGAGGCCAAAAAATATGCATTTGAAAACTATGAGCCGAACCTTTTTGGATATTGCAACTAGTTAGAAGGTCTTGAATACAGACTTTCTCCTGTTTAGAAAGACTGGAAAATTAATAAGTATATGTAATCTTTATTTATAGGCGCATTTTTACAGACCAAGGTCACCCAAAGTGCTTTACAATGTTCAGAGCTTAGATATTGTACCATTCTCGCCGAACACATATCAAAGCCCTAGCCAACACCATCCATTCTCAGTCATTACATTCATACCTATTGTGCATGTTTATAGTGTTAGGGGAAGCGTATGTAGACACAGGGAGAACATGCAAACTCCACTGAGAAAAGCCCTGTTCCTTATATTGTGAATTGTGACCCCATCTACAGAGAAAGTTTTCTGATTCCCAGTATGGATGTACAGTAGTGTAACAGGCCTGGTGGTGCGGCACAGGCCATTCCAGGCAGAGGTGTCCAGTCGGTGTAGTCATTAACTCTGCTTGAGTGGTTAGCTTTGGAACTGCTGTCTCCACGTGCCCTGCTCCAACCTCTGCTCCTCGAGGCACTAAAGAGCAGGGACCTGAGAGCAGCGCCTCCTGCTCATGTGGTCACTTATTAGAGCTGCCAATGCTTCTCTTCTACTGCTCACAATCCAATGGGAAAGAATTCAGGTTCAACTGTGGTTAAAAGTTTACACAAATGACCTTTGTTGGTGAAATTGAATCTTTAGTTACTTGTTATTGTACGTTTACATCAATTAACCCCTTACACTCCCCACCCTTTTTTCTCTAAAACAACTGAAATCGTCTTTGTTAGCAAGTAATCTTTATTTACAGAACATAGCTTTTTTTTTAAATTAAGATCCCACACTGACGGAAAGCAAGGTCGTCACAAAGAAGGCTCATGCCGGACCCTCCAACAATCACTACCATTTTTATCATATTTTTAGTTGTTTCGCCCAGGCAGCAGGCCACAAGCGAAGACCATGTAGTTTTGGCCTTGGTTGACTCGTTTACTCAAATTAGATGTGGGAACAATCTCTGAATAGAGAAAGATCAAACTCCAAATCCTGCCAAGGCTGACAAATATTTTAAAGAAAGGAAGCGTCACTGGCTAATACTGAAAGCTCAGCTACAAATAACAATATAAATCAAAGTATAATTATCATTAATAATAATAATAATAATAATCAAACGCAAATTCAATAGTCCATATTTTTAAATAAATATACAATAAAATAAGAATTAAAAAAAACTCCCCAACCTGTGGCACCCACTTTCAGGTAGCTCCCCAAAGGATTCAAGAATTTAACACATGATCCTGAATGATTCCTTTTTGAGTATATCTTAAATCTTTTCTCCATGATTGGCTATAGTTATTACACTACAATTGTATAACGACTGCTAAAAGGAGAAGCTCTCTGCCATTGCTGTTTTATGAAAGTAGCTCTCCAATTGAAAAGGTAGTGACCCCTGCTCTAAACATTGTCCAGAAAAGCCCATATTCTTGCAGGCTATGAGCACAACTGTAAGCACAAAGTTCCAGGCTTTAGTCCCACCCCACTTTTATTTTTTTTAACTCTCCTGAGTGTTTGTAGAGCCATCACTTTGCTCCTCAAATGAAATGATTAGTTGGCTGTTGTCGCCGTCACAGATAAGAGCCCGAGATGACTTTCTGTGCCTGGTATTGTAGCACTTTATCAGCTCTCAGAAAACCTCTTTAGCTCTGCCAGGGTATCGGAAGAGGCAGCTGAATCTCTTCGCTGTGTGACAAGACAAAATATTGGCCAATAAAAGCCAGACAGGCAGTGCTGTACCAGTCTGAGGGGCAGCCTGATGGATCTTGCTCTGCTTTTTAGATTTTACCTGGATGTTTGATGAGACGCTTTGAAGAATTCAGCTTGGCTCATCCGCCTCTTATGATCGCTATTCCAAACTCCCTGTAACAGCCTAAAAACAAATTGTTGTGAAGGTTACGTGCATTCTTACGTACAACATTTAAGTTATCATTAATGTTATTCATAAATAAAACTAATGCAGTGGTGACACTAATGTTGATTATTTCTCACATAATCTGTCCTCATTGTGTGAAGGGATGACATCTGGAAGTCGAGTGACCGGATGTCTAGATTCATTATGTTCTGGCAGTTCACTCAACCGCATTATTATGTTGGAAGCAGTCTTAATAAAAGGTCTATACTGAAACTAAATGAAGTGTTTTCCATTACAAATATATTTAAAACTATTCCTCCCCTTAGCAAAAGCGTGTCCAATCAGGAACTGGCATTCAAAAATTGTCTCTCCATTTTGACAACTTGAAAAGTAACCGACCTTCACTATAATCCATATGGAATCAACATTTGTTTGCATGCTTAACATAAGTCACACATACAATCAACAAAAACATTACAAATTACTATTAAATCTCGTGTTTTTATAGATTGTATGCGATAATTACAATTCCTCCGATTACAATGCCCCCATCCAGCTAGCCGGGTATTTGCTAAACCGCAGATATTTGTCTTTGTTTTCACCTGTCCTCCACATGACAACGCACCATTAACTAATGTATAAAAAAAACTCGGGGCAAAGTGAAGATTTTTGAAAACTATGTTTATGCATTTGCGTGTAGACAGAGATAACCGGAGTTTTGTGTTTTCGCACGTCACAATATGTGCCAAAACAACAGCAAACAAAACGTGCTATCTCTGATAACTGAAGAAGCATGGATCTTACTGCTTTAAAAACTGTTCGCTGCTGTGAACGGCTCGCAGCATCCTCGCTCCACATCAGAGAGCAGAAAAGTGATCATGGGGACTCACACTCGAAAACAACCGAAACAGGAGCTAGACCAGGACTAAACCAGGGCTGAGGACGGGGGGGAGAACAGTGCTTGTAAACATATGTCTTCACCATAGACTTTAATCTTCTCCCTGAGTTTCTTCTATGACTGTAAAAGTGCTGCTACAGATGCATCAAAGCTCCGCCCAATTCTGTGTTTTTCCCCATCGCAGGACTTCAGCGGACGCACATGTTTGGAATGTTATGAAGGTGATTGAAAACGCAGATGTTCAGTTATATGTGGATGCAAATTATCTTATAAACAGAGGGGGGGGGAAATATTCGGTGTGGACATGGCAGCAGTTAAAGCTGGGGTACCTAACTTTCAAACCACAATCATTGAACTATGTAATAAAGTCTATCTGACAAGTTCCTTGCTAGGAAAAGTTTGGTTGTGTCACTACTTTCTTATAAGTAAACGATAAAATGTTTTATAAAAATAATAAATGCAGCATGTTGTGGTACATCCAATTCTTTCTCTTGGGACAAACAACATGCAATATTTATGAAACAAATACTGTAAGATAGGTACCCCAGAGTGAATGACTATGATCTCCATTATCATCCTGAAAGGAACATTTTAAAGGATTTAATTTATTTTTCTTAAGAGCATAAAGCAATGTTCTAATTGAGAACTCAGAGCAATATGTTCACTTGATAAGGCACATGTTTGCATTATCTGTCTTGCATTTTCAATGGCATATTAAAATATTCATTTACATGCCTATACACCACACAGTCTGAACAAACAGAATATTCACTTCAATTATTACTACTGAGAAAACCAGGTCTTCATTGCAGAAGCCTCTCATGAAGAGCAAAGCAAACAACCCAGGATTTTCTCTTTGCACATTCAGGAGAGCAGGGAATTGGGGCACAGGAATTCAGCTTTCAGTATTTGTTGTTTTTTAGCTAAATTCCTTCTTTAGGGCATAAAGTTTGCAACTCCATTGATTTCTAGATCGCCTGGTTTCACAGAGCAACAAGCCTGTGAGGATAAAGTGCACCTCCGGCTCTGTCAGTGTGGCTGTAAAAGTGTTTTCTCTGTTTTATTGACGGGAAAAAGCTGCTGGCTGAAAGTGAGCAAGTTCTCTTTCGTTTTAGGAATGTTGCGACGGGTGATGAATGCAGCCATCACTGAGGATGTCTCCCACAAGGATTTAAATAACCTCCAAAAGTCTTTGATGTCAGACTAGGCCAGGTTTTCAGTGTGACAGGTGTCAGTCTGTGCAGAGTCAGTTTGAATGTCCCAGTTGGTCACGTTTGACACGTCTGCTGTCTGCCGCTCCAGGACTGGATCAGGCTCTCTGCGAGGCTCAGGATCCCAGTTAGAGCCGTTCACATGATGAACTATAGAGTGATCACCTGGGGAGGCCCGCAGTGAGAGCCATGACAGGTCTGGTTCAGAGGGCGGGGCATCCAGAGCCAGAGCTGCCTCCTCCCCCTCCTCCACAGTAGAGCACAGTTCTTCATCATCATCAACGCTTTCCTCCGCATGTCCCGCCTCCTCCACTGGACTGCGGCCATCACCCAGCTCCACCAGGGCTCCTTCAGTCGGGGTCGTGTCTCTCTGTGTCCTGTCAATCCCATTCATCTCCAGCCCCACGAGAGGATCCAGGCTGCTGAGCAGGGCAGGTGTGTCTTCTCTGCTGACGCCATCTGTGCCAAGGTCGCTGCCAGCGGTGTGGCTCTCCCATGATGATTCATGTGCACTTCTGCCGTCTGCCGTCACTGTGAAGAAGATGACATCGCTGGTCATTTTAATTATCTGCTTCTTCTAAAAACACAATTTAACTACTACTATATGTTTAAGTATGAATACATCTATTGACCCACTCCTCTCCTGCATGCTCGCCGATCAGTCTTTACTTGTTGTCCCAAATACAAAGGGGTGTTACTTTTACTTATTAACATACTGTACTTTTAACTAGTTAGTTACTAATTATTTAAAATATTTAAGACACACCTTTTCACATTGGCTTCTTTGGCATCTGTTTGTGTTAATGTTTCATTATAAGGCCTGAAAGCCAGATCCCATCAAACCTCTGAAGCTAAGCAGAGCAGGACCTGGTTAGTACTGTGATGGAAGGCCTATGGGAACACACTATGCCACAATGGGGCGACTACGACTCAAAGGTGTGTCCTTAGGCAAGACACTTCACTCACATTTCCTAGAATGAGTCTGGTGTGTGTGACTGATTGGTGGTGATTGAAAATATTGCAAGATTATTCTTAATGTATAATTTTTCATTTGACTTTGAAAGCGCACAACAAATAATGTTGGATTGGAACTACATATAATATTTGAAACTGTGACCAGTCAGATTATAAGCGCTACAACTACAGTATGTCTGAGTGCTGCAAGAAATAGAAAGCCATAACCTCCATGATTAAACAAATACAGCAACTTTTTTTTGACACTTTTCAGTCAGAATTAAAACGGTTGTATCAATAAAGAAAGTTAATTCAATTGCTTAACTGCTTCCACAGCAACAGTCTAAATTTAGCACCATTGCCCAGACATGAAAAACACCCATCATGTCGGCAGCTTAGTTCCACCTCTTCTCTAAAATCTGCTGTAACGTTGTGGATTAGTGACCCATATTTTTGCATGTGCAGGTGAAAAGGTTAAAAACTGCACTGAGAGTCCCAGCCACCTTCTCCCACACAGGACTACACTGGAAGAGTGCACATTACCATGGCATCCATATTTATGGGCATTCATCCCTCTCCCTCCTTCAAAGAGAACAAGGCAGAAGTTTGTGAATGTCAGCGGGCGAGAATTTGCTTCACATTTCCAAAATGCCATGGCATTTGGGCATCTCGCGCCAATGAGAGGGAGAGCAGTGCAGGCGGGAAGGAATGGGACCTGGGCTAAATGCTCCAGATAGTTGGGACGACTTTTAGCACACACAGAAGCTAATTACAGTTGTTTATGCCGTTAGCTGTTTGTGCTCTTATCAATTGCAGTTAGAAGCTAGTACTTACACACAATAACACACTCACCTTTGGGTGGCAGCATGTTTGGCAGTGATGTGACGAGTGTAGGATGGAGCTCAGGTTGTAGACGCTCCTTCACAGCCATATTGTCCTGTGCTCCTGAAAGTCGAGAGGTAACTTTTATCATGAGAGAGAAAACTTTTGTGAAGGTTGCACACATGTTCATATTGAGTGGAGCTGATCCAAGGACACATCAAAAATAATGTGCGGAGAGCTCTCATACGGAATGCAAATAGACACACACGTATGCACCACAGCGTTCATAGGAAGTGGCTTTGCGTCTCCGTCATCTGTCTTCATTAGTGATGGCTGCACGCCTCTCAGGCTGACACCATATGCTAGTCATAGGATTCTGTGAGCTATAAAGCAGACTTCACAAACACAAAACTGTTCATACAAAAACACACAGGTGCTCAAACATGTGCACATATCACTCCTTGTTTTCATACAGGCCGTGTGAACTGTCAGCCTGTTTGAATGAGCAGTCGGGTGTAAGGGAAAAACAAACAAATGAATAAGCAAACGCATGGCTACACACGATACATGAGAATGGTGAATAAGAGCAGATAGTCATGGCAACATAACCATTCTGTAAGATATAGGGGCTTGCGAAAGTACTAATACAACTTGAGCTTATATGGCTTTATGTGTGAGAATGGCCCAGGCAAAGTCAAGACCAAAATCCAATTGAAAATGTATGGAAAGACCAGAAATCCACTCTTTACAAATGCTCGCCATCTACAGTAATCTGAGTTTGAGTTGTTTTGTAAGGAGGAGGAGGTTTCAGAAAATAATTAACATTTTTTTGTTTTTTTTAATCATGCTGTCAATTTTACAGATGTGGCTTTATATCGTTTTTGGTTAAAACGTTATTCACCCTCAACTCTGGAGGTGCGAGTGTCAGTTGAGTTCAAACCATGACACACACATAAGTCAAGTTTGTGGTTTAAATCTCAAATAATGATCTGGTTCATTTGTGGATCAAAGTTTGCTCATTTCTTTGAAACATGGAGAATCTCCCGTGGGCCTTTCCCTCCATTTGAAATTATGACCACATCAAATCTACAACACAGCCTGTTCGTGTCATGGCGTTTCGAAAAACTAATTAGAAAAGCGAGGTTATCAGATACGCAGCACTAGGCCCATACCAGGCACTTTATTTTGCTTTTCTCGTAATGAAGCTTGTGTTCAGCTGAGGGAAGTGTAGCTCTGTAGCGACTCTATTAATGTCAGTGATATTGTTTTGAGTCGTCTCTCATTCTCTCATTCGCAGACATCACCTCCACTTCTCCAGACTGCAGGTAGAGGCAGCCAAGGCCCACCATTCGTCCCCGTTTGCCTTTAATATCCATCAGCCCAATTTCATATCGCATCAAGGATAGAGACAGTCTCATCTCTCTATATATGGGCGTCTCCCTAACTGTGCCGGACAGCGTGGTCGTCAGCCACTCTGGGCCCTTGCCTACAAATTCCCTAATAACGGCACATTCCCCTAAATGTGTTTGTAATGTGGGCCATCATTTTCGGTAATGGATGCTTGTCAGTTTTATGGCGGTGAGAATGACGGTCTCATGACAGGGCACCTCCATCCCCAGCCCCCCCTCACCTCAGTCTGAATTATGCACAGTGCAACTGCTCCCTCTAGTGGAGGAATAGCTTCATAGCCGTCTCAGGTAAAAGATTGAGGCTGCAAAGTTTTTGCAAAATATCTAATTGTGATTTCCATTGTGCTTGGGATGTGGTTATTTCAGTAATAATACTAGATCCACTAAAAAAGCCTAGGCATTTGTTGATAAAGGCTTACAGCTGGGGTCCCTAACTAATGTATTAATCCATCTAACTAGTTGGCTCGTTCTTAAAACCGTTTGGTTCTATCTAGTTCTCACGCACAAATTTTTCTCATCTGTCATATATTTAAATCAGAATTTTAAGACAGAAAAGGGGATGAGGGAAAAAGAGGACCACCCTCACACAGCCAATTAGTTCTTAGTCCAAAGTTGCATATTTTAATTCATTTGCTATGAATCTTGCTTCCCTAATTGAGACCATCTTTCATTCTATACATTTGAAAGACATTTAACAATTTAAATGCAATACTTGAATTATGAGCGCTTTGATAATACTATGCTCTCACTCTTTGATCAACATTATTAAAGAGTGCCTGAGAACGTAACTTCATTTTGTGACTTTTGAGAAAAATATTAGTAGTGAGTCAAACGGGTCAGTGGGGATTTGCGCCATCATGGACCGTCACAGAGCGGGTGGTCAGTGAGTATGACACACGGTAAACGGTGGGCATGAGATGACACGGTTTCTGGACATCTGCCTAGATTTGTCCTGGCATGACTTCGTGGAGGGGCATGGTTGGGCATGGTTGGGCTAAGTGGGGCAGAAGGAATACATACTCCCAATTCCCACAGATATGCGGTAGGTCAGGCCTGAGTCCAGCCAGGAAGGAGAGCAGAAACAGCCAGAATAGGTCAGTCGGTAAGATACATTCTAATATAAAAGATATAGACTAACAAATATTTACTTAACATACAATCATACCTGGAAGACTCCAAAGACCTGAGACTTCCAATGTTTTTAGCTTCTTTTCTAAATCAGCCACACGGTTTCCCAGTATCCTGCAGATAGATAAGAGGACAATGTTTGCTATGGAGGTGGAGCAGCACATGGCAAACACTGTGAGACTACCGAAGACTAGGAGTACGTTTACAAAGCATAAGAACACAGATTACTCTAATTCAGCGTTGCTCCTAAACCAGTCTGACCACTCCGCTCAAGTTTACATGACATTGTGTATTTGTGCCCTCAAATATCTCCCAGACTGCACAAGATGTTGAATTCCTTTACTTAGTAGAGGGAACCTTTTGATTATAGTTCCCAGCAGCGTTGGCATCATCATTTGTAACAATATTTACACTATGGCAGGGGCAGTGAGAGCAATATTGTCCCACTCCAGAGCGATTGGAGAGGGTTACATGCCAGTATAAACAGTAGAAATGATTTGATCCAGTTATTTTTTTATAATTATTATGTCAAGTTATAATAATAAGTTAATATCTACAAGTGTGATGAACTAAGTATGGTTAAAATTATAATCAAGATGCCAATAGTTTCATTATGAGCACATGTTGGATGATTAGATTTTCATTTTTAATCAAATCAGATATTGGGTGTCCCCATAGATGGACATTGTTACGTTCACCTGATTGTATGTTTTATGCTGTTGACCAAAACTAAACGGAAGGGGCCATCCTCAAGACTGAAATGTTGTATTAGAAGAAATCAAATTGGCGTTTCCGCGTTTACATGCGTCTTGCTTAATTTAAATTAATTGGACAAGGCGAGCGATGTGGAATTCACTGGTGCCATATAAAACGTTCTCATTGCCTCCCTCAGGACCTGTTGGTGTGCCTTTGATGTTGGATGACCAGGTTTTTCTCATGAATCGTCTCGAGCAGAGCCGTGGCCAGGGACTTGAGGTCAGCGATGGACTGAGGGGTGGCTGGTAGACTGCATCCCCGCTCCTCTAGAAGCATCTCCTGTACTGAAAAACACAGGCTACACATTAACACAAAACGACAATAACACTGTGAAAAAGATTTGGGAGGAAGATACAGTTCAAACGCATCCGCATTCATTGACACATTTGAGTTGGTAAAGTTTTCAAATCTGCAAGTACATATTCACATGTCAAGTAAAGTTGGAGAAAAGTTTAATGATATTTAATAGATTTAAGAAGGTGATATAACAGGAGACAACATAACAGCATGACGAGATGGAGAGTTAGAAGCAGCTGTCGACTAGCAGAGACTCCTCTAACTTTAACTGGGAGCCCACTGTGCTGCGGCTGCCTGTATCCGTCAGTCATGATGGCAGCCTCATTTCCCTGACAGTGGTGCTTTCCATCGCTCTGAATACAATTAGTAGCTCAGCTGGGCTCCGGTACGGCGAGGGGAAAGAACAAATAGGGATTAGGAATGTTTTGATCGAGGGGGCACTTTGATTTCAAGAACAAATACTGTATTATACGTTATTTGTGATTGTCAAAAGTTTTTTGGAATTATGAATTCTGAAATGAATGGCAAATTAAACACTGAAATATATGGATAATCAAAAATATGTATAATGGATAAAATAAATAATATGGATTAGTTAAAACTGAAGTGCCCATCTTTCAAACAACAAAAAAAGATCTAGGCAATAACATCCATCTCAACAGTTTGGTTCCATCAGACGTTTTCACATGCATGCATTTTTGGCCTCTTGTCACATCTTTAGATGATCTTTTTTCAGATGACCACCCTTACTCAGCCCAACCCAATGTATCAGATTGTGATTCACTTGGCTCTATGCACAAGATAACATGTTTTTGAATAGGATTGAGACAGCTTGTCTGATTTGTTCACAACATTGTTCTTTTGACTCTTTTTGCTAACCCAGCCTCCTTCATCACATCAACTATGGGCAAAAGTGGGAACTTTCTTCTTATATTTTATAAATTGAATGTGGTGCATTGTAATTGAAGACACAAATTACTTTTGTTTTAAAAGGCAACAATACATTTGAGAAAGGAGAATTTAGACAGAAGGGTCAGGAGGACATGTCAATCTATGCCAGAGTTCCTTGTATAACTGTGGACTACTCCAAGTATATTTGTAATAGGGAAAAATGCTTTAACATGTTCAAGGCAAGCCCTGGTGATCCAAGATTGCGCCCTATTCAAATGAATGACTTGTGCTCAGTAGCGCATGGGACATACACGGGGACCAAAAGATTAGCGGAACTCGCCCATATTTGGGCAATGTCTGGTCCTCCCAGTTCTGCGCAGTGGACGAGATCTCATAATGCGTTGCACCAAATACAGTATGTGTGAGTGGCTCTCATGCACGTGCACAGAGGGGCTCGGACGCGCTCTGACCAATCAGAGGCTGGTGATCAGAGCAGCTGTAGAGCGGAGCCAGAGCGGGAAGAAAACAAGCAGTTTGTTGGATTTAAATGTGGATTTAAAGAAAATTTAACTGTTTAGAATGACAAGGGACACTAAAATCCCCACAAAATACGACCTTTATGAAAGCTGTAGGTTCTCTTTCAGCTGAGGTCGAGCTGGTTTAGTTTACATTGAACCCACATGAATTTAGTCTGCAGTACCACGGGCTCCCCCTGCACCCATAGGTGAGACAGCTATAAGCTAGCAGTACCCAATCAAGATCTTATTATAGATGTGTCCTTGAACATGGTTCAAGGACACATAACTTTGTCAGTTAATGCTTTTATTAAATCAGGGTTTTGAGGCTACCTTGTTTTGCAGAGAGGACACCTGTGAGGGGTGCGCTTATGCCTTTCCCATTGTTTTTTCTTCTGTCAAGAGCAGTCTGGAAAGATATCAAAATCATTTAATAAATATATGCATTATATAACAATAAATGAATCCATACAACTTTTGTAAAAGCCAGAGTTTGACTGGAAGTGTTTTGACTTTATCATCATTATCCAATAAATGCAAATAACCATCCAACAAATGTGAAGAACAAAGTCAAAACAGTAGATTTTCTCTTTTTTAATATTATACGTACATTGTATATTTATGCACATTTGTCTGAGACTAATTGTTGCAAATATTTCAGTGGACACACACCTTGTACTTCATGATGTTTGATTTCAGCAGACTAACCTCCTCCTGCACTTGGCTAAAACGATCCTGCAAATATCTGAAAAATAAAAAATCCTTTTGGCATGCATCACACATTTAAATGGTGAGTAAAGCACAGCCCAAAAGACTTTACAATCACCAATGGATTTTTTTTTTACAACTTTTTTCTTTTAAATGATGAACCAATTAAGCTTGAGTCTGAAATATAAATAAATATAATCTATCCATTGTTGCCTTTAGTGTTGCATTAACCTGTTCTCCATACAGAGGGCATCCAAATCAATGAGCCGCGTTTCATGGTTTCCCAAAATGTGGTTGAGTTCCGTATTGAGTCTCTTGGCCTTTTCCTGGTACACGCTGCGTTCTGCTTTTACATCCTGAAGCTCATCGGTCAGCGCTTTTATGTTAATCTCCATCTCCTCCATCTGCAAGAGAAATGCAACTGTGACACATTTATGGGACGGTGAGGACAATATAACAAACTACTAAGAAAGGCAAAATAACATGATAATGATGTGTAGCTAATATGTATAATCGTAAACGTCAGTGGCTCTCAAGCTAAGTTCCGAAACCACAGGGGAGAATCAGTACATGCTCTAAAACTTTGATAGTTACTTAAAACAAATACAACTTTTTGCTATCCATTATATTTATTTTTTGATGGAAACTACTACAGCGCATAAAATATCTACCAATGGGAAGAAATAATAATGTCTTGTTTTTGAAGAGACAAAAAAAGGCTAATATGGAATGAGAGAGAAAAACTCTACCCTCCCTAAGAAATGTTTTTCTTGTCCCATTGGCAATTCTATTTAATTACATCTTTGAGCCATGGGCTACCTATTTTTGTATTATTTTCTGCAGTAAAACATTCTCAACTAAAAACGAATATAGCCTACAATACAGTTTATTCCATACATTCTAGATCACACACACACACACACACACACACACACACAGTTGTTCCAGGGGATTAGAAAGGGTTGGCAACCTGCAGTCCAGCCCTCTCTAGCTGCTGAACCAGATCTTCTCGCTCATGTGCAGGAAAGTGTCTTGTTCCCACTTCGTCATCGCCAAGCCTCTGACGCGTTATCGTCATCCTCAGCAGCTGGAGGTACAAACCCGCTGTATGAATCTAATGTTTGCGGCCTTACATTGGGCTTGTTTGTGCGTGTGTGGAAGTGCAGGTAACCTCACCTTGTTGTCCCCCTGGGCTTCTGAAAGCCTCTGTGTCAGCTCTTTAACCACCTCTCCGAGCTGCTTTGCCTTTTCCCTCGAGTCTCTCAGAAGCTGTGCCAAGTTCACCTCAGGAAAACATCTAAATATTAATGACCCAACTAAAAGCATACTCACTTTGCCTCAACTGAATAAAAAACAAATGTAAGAATAAAAGTCAACCTTATTAGAGATTTTTTCATCAGTCAAGGCTGAAGCTAGACACATTTTTGCACAATTGTTACACTCCAGTCAGAGAGACCAAAACCAAAAAAGTTAACAAGCTACTGGGTCAATATACCTACATTTCTAGTGTGCCCAATGCTTTTATTTAAAGACATTAGCATCTCAACTCTTCATATGATTTTATAGAGTATATATTCAACACGCAACAGCTGGCTCTGTCTTTCTTGCTCAACAAAAGTGAAAATTATTCCTGCTCTCTCAGTATACATTACATGAAACTTACTTGATTACGTTTTTCAGGAGGCAGAGAGGGATCGCCATCCTATAAAAACATTGCTTATTATTGAATATGAATGATCGCATAAATCTTGTCAGTTGTCAGTCAAGACTTACGATTAGCTCTCTGTACTTCTTTTTGAGTCCTTGGTGGCGCTCTCTCAGCTGATTCGCCATCAACTTGTACTGGTCCCTCTCTTGTTGACAGGTGTCAAGCTCCTTGGACAAAATAAGCAGAGCCTCTTTCTTGCTCTCCAGTTTGCGCTTGCACACCAGGAACTTCATGAAAAAGTCAAATTTGTTCAGTAAAGAACAAATAAAACCAAAATGTCTTGATGTCATCTCTCAGTCTCAAGTATCAAACAGTGGCAAGGCAAGGCAAGTTTATTTGTATAGCACAATTCATACACAAGGCAACTCAAAGTGCTGAACAAGATAGCATTAAAATCATAAATAATTACAGAACATTAAAACGAAAGATAAAAATATAAAATCCCTCAGTTGTATGCACAGCTAAACTCAGTGACTCACAGCAAGATCAAATGTTTCCTAATAAGAGAAATACTGTCTTTTTTTCTGGTTTGGTTTGTTCACAAAATTGGTTACAAGTTAGTTACCCCAACTTTACACTGTCACTGGTCGGGTCAAAAATACCACGCCCATTTCTTGTTTCCATAACAACCATCTACATTATCAGCAGCATCAGCCCAGACTTAGCAACTTTTACTTTTACGAACTGAACAATTTCAACCAGTTCAGTAAGCATTTTTACAATACATTGCCTGTTATCATTTTCAAGTGGGCGTTTGTACTGATTTTTTTCTCCCAAAAAGACGTGAGCGGGTGATGAAAGAAGGCTAGCTCATATTAGCATTAGCAACGGTACATGTTAGCTACATCAATGCAAAACAATACTAAGCGTGGCATTTAGCTAACCACGTGCTGTCCGTCTGCGTGTGTCCAGTTTGCGTGTCCTGTTCTTCCATATGGAACACTGATAGAGGAAAGCAGCCGTGTCTCTCTGAGCGACTCACATCCATGGACTTACCTCGCTGACCAGTCCCTGCCAGTCACTCTCGCTGTGCTTGGAAGGTGTCATGTCGGGCCACAGGTTGCATATATGTGATTAGGACACACAAAGTGGAAATGTGGACGACAGCTAGTGATGTGCTGAGCGGACCGAGTCTTCGAAGCGTGGACCGAGTAATCTGGGGGCGTTTCTTGTGAAGCGTGGGTCGAGGCGTGTATTGGTCACGTGTGTTGGTGACGTTCGAAGCCTCGCGTAGCGCCCGCACCACGTGACGGTTCATATAGTGCTTCATATAGTTCGGAGAGTGCATTGCTTTGACAGGTGCTTTGTGATCCGCGGCTGTCCCCGTCTGCCTCTGTGTGCGTACGTGTGTGTGTGAGTGATGTGGAGCAGTCCTGTACTAAGTATAGAGAAACTACTTCATATGAAATACAATTAAAAACTTTTCACTTTAGTAAAACCTCATATATCAAGTTACTAGTAATAATACGCTGGATAATACATTTAACAACAGCTGTGTGGCGCAGTCGGTCTATGACGGACTCCGAAGCAGAAGATATAGCGTTCGAATCCTGGTCTACCCATAATAAATTTTGTGTTGCAAAGTAAATGTATTTATTTATTGGGAATAAATGGTTTGTTGTGTTGAATTAATCCACCTCTTGGTAGTTTTTCCTCCATTAATCACTTTCTGTAGAACTGTATTACTTTGGATGTGTTTGTTGTATCAACACAATTGACTGAAAGACTCAAATAGTTCATAGTTCATGAAGCATCATTTCAAACACAACACGTTAGACCATAGATTGTAAATATACATTTTAACATTAGATCTCACCATTCGTTGTAAGCTCTTAAGAGTGTTATGTATTTCTTTGTCCACATGATGGCGTAGTGGAGCATGATTCACCTTGAGCCTTCGACTCATGGGCCGAGTAATAGGCTGCGATCCCTCAAGGCTTCATGGGGCTTCATATTGCCATCACTAACGACAGCTGCAGCTCAGAGGATTTGTGTTTGTCTTTGTGACGTCACACACCTCCAGGTCTGCAGCTGTGTCACTGAGGAGCCGTGTTGTGAAGCTGGAGGGAGTTAGCACTGCGTTTCCGGGACGTACTAAACCTGTTACTTACCCGTTATCTTTCCAAAAAATAAAAAATAACATGAAAAAAAAATGCCCCAAGACTGAGTTTTGTTTGTGTTTTTTTTTAAAGAAAAATAAATAAATCTTATGAGAAGATTAAGATAAGACTCGAATGCGACTTGACTATTTAGGCTGAGAGCTCTCTTTTTCCTTTTCTGTTGATCACATGTGAGACGTGAACACTGATAGAACCAAACTATGTGAGATGGATCTTATTTGTTCCATTATTTGTTTAAAAGTGGGAGCTCAGATTTCAGTAACCTGCTCAAGTAAAAGTATAAAGATCAATGTATTTGCTACTGAGCCTCTCAGGGCAGCTGAGTCAACGACAAAATAAGTAGAGAAAAACCCCCCAAAAAAAAGACATGTTTATACACATTTTTTATTTGTGACTATAGGTAATTGGAATATGGTTCAAAATGATCTCAGTTCTATAAAAGGATATGGAACAGCTTTGTATAAAATCATAGTTACTTTTTGGCTAGTAAAGCTTACACTTTATTCTGTATCAGTGCTTTCAGCCTTCATGTCACTGCTTTGAGATTCCTGGACGGAGATCGGAAGATTCTCCTCTGCTTCAGGACTATCTGTGCTGACACAGTCTGTGGTCATCTCTTCTCTTTGAAACAATTCTTTTAGAGGTGTCTCCATGTTCCATCCCTGTGTTTTAGCAAATTTATAAATGGAACCAAAAAGTTCGGGAAACAAAGTCAAAACATCAACTTGAGCTGCATCTTTGGAACTGAAAAGAGGAAAAAACATACTGTTAGCCTAAACACACAATGTAATGTAATGGCTCAAAAGCAAACATTAGTTCATATTTTAAATGTCAGAAGGTTTTGTACTTACTAATGTTCATAAAGATTTCGTATGAAGCGTAACAATCCAAGGGCATTTTCAGGGTAAGCTTTACCCTTTCTGTCCATTTTCCAGACCAAATCTCCTGAAAACTTATATGTTGTACATACATGAATACAGAAAATCTGATATTTATCAAATATAATAACATGTTGTAAATGTTCGTCTCACTTTTGTTTTCCAGTCTTTCAAGGATTCTGCAACAAGAAATGTTTCCACTAAAGATATAAATGCATCTTCAGCATTTCGACAGTTGTTAATCTCATCCCGGTTCCCAATTTTTTTCAAGTACTCAACACGCCTGAAAAAGTAAATGTTACTAAACAGTAAACAACGTTAAGACGGCTTCTTTCACTTCTTTACTTGTGACTCTTCCAGAAGAAGGGATGTCTTAGACACTCCCCCACGCTGGGTCTGTCTCTTGGTTCTTCGTTTATCATCCACTCAATGAGGTCCTTCGCCACCTCGTCTTGTACGTGCTCCAGGTTGTATTTTCCGTATAAAATGTTTGCTTCACAGAGGAACCTGTTTCCAAATGGATGATGTCCATCAGAGAGAATATAGTAAATAAGCATTCCAGCCACCTATAAAACACACACACACACACACACACACATTCCAATTATTGAAATCCTTTGTAAATCTTTGGGAAAGCACAAACTGACCTGTATGTCAGTGTTTGACTTGTATGGAATGCCACTGTCCTCGTCGGTCAGAGTTTCTTTGGCCATCCAGCATTTGGTTCCAGCACTGGCTGTTCGCAGAGTAGTCTGTCCTTTGAGCAGCCGTCTACTGATGCCAAAATCTGCCAGTCTGGCTCTTCCATTTACATCTGTAGGGCATGTTGGATGTTAGGTAATACATTATAGCGTTGGTGATTATAAAATATACAATATACATTGAAGAAAAACACGTCTTACCAATCAAAACATTTTGCGGCTTTAAATCCCGATGAAGAATAGAAGGTTTTTGACTATGAAGAACCTTCAGACTATCCAGGAACTGTCGTATCAGATCCTTCTTCAGTAGTGTGTTGTTTGAGACTGTGTCTCTGAGATATTCCTCCAGGGTGTATTCACAAAGCTGAAGAGCCAAATATCCAAAGTTCACATCTTCTGCATTATCAATATATCGTACTATGGAGGGGTGGTCCAGTTCTGGGAGTCGGAGGAAGCCCTCTTCATTTTTCAACACTCGATAGTTGGATTTTGTCATTCTTTTAATGGCCACTTCAGTCCCGTCATCCCTCAGCCCCAGGAAGACCTCAGTGCCATCACTGCCTTTAGCTATGAGGAAGTCTGCATCATTGACATACTCTATACTTCCTATTCGAGAGACTTTTTCAGAACTCTGGAGTTTCTCCAGCTTTTCCTTCCATCGTCTGCTGATCGACAGCCATTTGCGTTTTGGTAACGTTTCAGTGTTGGGTGAAAATGGCCGGACATTAGATGTGGATTCTTCAACAGGAACAGTCTTGTTCTGGCTGTTGTTTGACTTTGTTTTCTTCTTTTTCTTCTTTTTCACAGAAACAGGAGGCTCTGAAGTGCAATCAGTTTTGTTTAAGTGACTATTGAGTCTTCTCAGCCCCTCTTTAAGCGAGTCATTCATGTCCATGTCTGCAGATGTCAGTACATCTTCAGGCACAGTGGAGATGCCCAGGGAAGTAAAAATACTAGCAGCTTGTTTAAGTAAATTTGCAAACACTCCATATGTGAATACTCTAATGCCAGGTGAGTGCTTATCTGTCACAAATGGATGAATCTGTTTGCATAATGTCTGTAGAAAGGTTGGGTCCCATTCCTGGGCCTTACTTGTTTTCTGAGTTATGACATACAGGGTTTGAAGCACTGTAAGATATAACTCTGTCTGATGCTCCTTCTGTAGCTCCTTCTTTTTGAAGCAATGGAGTAAATGTGGGATTACAGCCTCGGCCTGTCCAATCTGTATTTCCTCCAAGGTGCAAGACACTATATGTAGGCTGTTGACTGCTCGAATCCTATCTGCAATGTGAATATTTGGAAGGCGGTTTACTATATTCTCAATATAGGAATGCAGATTTGCAGTTTCTTTAAGCCATTTAATACATAGTTGCTTGTACTTTTCCCGATGTGATGTCTGCAGTGTCAGGAGTAATTCAACCATGATGAGATGATTTTGGGGATTTTCCTTGAGCATGTGACTGTGAAAAGTTGTGATAATTTCCTCTGGAGGTTTCTCACGAAACAAAATCTCTAGTTCTATAAAGCACATGACTTTGGAGCAGACTTTATTTCCTTCTGATGCGAGTATCCCGATCATCTCAAACAGTTTTCTATTAAGATTGTTACTTTGGTCCGATGGCACTGCTGTTATTTTTGCATCAGCAGAAATAAGCATTTCCATAACATCTTTCATATTATTAAATGCAGCGATGTGCAGAGCAGTCAGGGGAGGTGATATATTGGGGTTGGCTTTTGCTTCAAGTAGGTGTTTAACAAAAACAGCGGGAGCCTTAGATATAGAAACATAATGTAAAGCTGTGCATCCATTGTGGTTCATTATGTCTGGGTTTGCCTTCTTCTCCAGAAGAAATGTCACTATATCCTCTCTGTGAACTGACACAGCCTTCATTAATGGGGTCACACAGGCATTCAGTGTTTTACATGGGTAGAGACCATTGATGTCCATTGATGAAATAAGTTTCCTTATCTTCTTCTTGTTCTTGGTTTGAATGCACTCAATCAAAGGATGTGTTTCATTTACAGACACCTCCAATGTCAAGGCTGGAAAATTCATTGTGTAATTTGATCAAAACTATAAGAAAAAAAGTACACGTTTTATTACACATATTCCACGAAGAAGATTCCATGTTTCAAACTAAAATCAATATGACCTCGGCCTAATAATACAGGGTCATGTTGATTTGACTATCTAAAAAAATTGTTGTGGTGGTTGTGTACAAATCATATAAAATTTACTTATAGAAATTCTAAAGTAAATAAGGTTTTGAAAACTAATATGCAAACTCATAATGTGACGTGCTCTTGTCCATTTGACTATTCATTAAAGCAGTTGTGTGTTACTAACTAGCGGTTAAGGGATTAAGTAAGTAAGTAATCTTTATTTATATACCGCCCTTCACAGACCAGAGTCACAAAGCGGTTTACAATTGTTATTTTTGGGGATTTGTCCTCTCACTCCACACAGAGATGGGAGCGGGGTCGCCAAACAGGAGGCGCATGCCAATTCTATTGTACATATTTTTAGTGGTAGGGGAAACCGGAGTACCCGGAGGAAACCTACGCAGACACGGGGAGAACATGCAAAGAAAGGCCCTGGTCCGGCCGGGATTCGAACCCAGGACCTTCTTGCTGAGAGGCGAGAGTGCTATCCACTCAGCCACCGTGCCCTGAAAACATCCCTCGTTATTCATTTTTTCCTATGTTGGTTTTATTTAGAAAATCAAAAGAACGGATGATACACGGATTTCCCTACAAGGTATTACAAAGTATTCCTGAACTTTTAATACTGAAGAATTTGGATGGGTGCGAGATGTAGTAAACTTACATAAAGGAAATGTTCAGGGAAATTGTGAGCATGAATTAAAGCATGAGAATATTATGGTTGTACATTAACAAAATACGTCAGACCAGATTTATTCGAAAGTTGCTACAGATTAAACATGTTTGTAAACTCTGAACTATGGACAAGGTGCGGTATGTAGTCTTTGCTACTTCCTAATCGGAATTCATTCTAATGTTTACATAATAAGAAAACTTGTTCTAAGTTTACGTGAACAATAAATGTAATGTAATAATGTGTTTAATCCTACCTTTCTTCTGTTTTATAGTAAAGATGTCTTTGAAGTAGCTTGACAGGCAGAGCTTTCTCTTCGAGCATTTGGATCAGATAGTCTCCTCCCTATGAAAGCCCGTTTCCGCCTTGTAAAAAAAAAAAAAAAAGCATCCAGAAAGTCAAAATTTAGAGCTTAAAACTCAAAATTACGACTTTAAAAGTCAAAATGTTAACTTTAAAAGTCAAAATTACGAGTTTTCAACTGCGCATGTGCAGTTGAAAACTCGTATTTGTTGTTGTCTGGAACGGTCTCTGGACATCCTTCACCTGCAGATTATGTGAAGATATTGCCTACAGTGACCACTGCATCCATGAAGTAGCCAGAAATAATGTTTGATTGATTCTGTAAAACTTTCCTGTTTAAGCCAATAGATCCAACAGATCAGTGAGTGGATGCAAAACAACTTCCTTCAGCTAAACGCAGACAAAACTGAAATGATTGTCTTTGGTCCCCAGAAACAAAGAGAGAGCGTCATCTGTCACCTACAGTCTCTCTCCCTAAAACCTTCAAACAAGGTCAGAAATCTAGGGGTAATACTGGACTCAGACTTAAATTTTAATAGCCACATCAAATCAGTAACATCAGCAGCTTTTTACCATCTAAAAACATTGCCAGGATCAAAAACATAGTGTCTAAAGCAGACCTGGAGATTCTTATCCATGCATTTGTCTCCAGTAGGTTAGACTACTGCAATGGCCTGCTCACAGGTCTGTCCAAACAGGCTGTAAAACAGCTGCAGTACATTCAAAATGCAGCAGCTCGAGTCCTGACTAGAACCAGGAAGTACGACCACATTAGTCCTGACTAGAACCAGGAAGTACGACCATATTAGTCCAGTCCTCAGGTCTCTGCACTGGCTTCCTGTGGCTCAGAGAATAGACTTTAAAACAGCTCTGCTTGTGTACAAGTCTTTCCATAGCCTCGCACCAAAATATATTAGTGACATGTTAGTCCCATATGAACCAGCCCGGACTCTGAGGAGCACAGGGACTGGACTCCTGTTAGTGCCCAGAGTCAGAACTAAACATGGGGAGGCTGCTTTTCAGATTCATGCTGCTAAAATCTGGAACAAATCTTCCTGAAGATGTGAGACAGGCCTCCTCAATGACAGTGTTTAAAACCAAGTTAAAAACAGTTCTGTTTAGCTGTGCATACAACTGAGGGATTTTATATTTTTATATTTATAAAAATAAAGATAGTTTTATATCTTTATTTTTAATGTTCTGCGATTATTTATGATTTTAATGCTTTCTTATTTTGTTCAGCACTTTGAGTTGCCTTATGTATGAATTGTGCTATATAAATAAACTTGCCTTGCCTTGCCGAGCCCCAGACCGCGGTCGTAGGACGCAGGGGGGAGCTGTCTTTTTATTTATTTGTGTTAAATTCAATTTACATATATACAACATTTAAATCAAACGACTTATTTCAACATAGTAACAAAATGTTTTTATAATAAATCAAAGGAAAATGAGCCATCGAGACATTCCAATCCAATCTGCAATAGACCACTCTGACCAGACGATGGCGCTGAGAGGGGTCCACACGGAGCGAGTCTTTCCACGGCTGAAAGGATGCATTTTCTACGTGTTGAGTACAGGGGTTTATTCATGCATCTATAATGGGTTTAACTCCATTTTCAAAGACCCTCACTGTTATCTGCGGAGTTATTTCTCCGGATTGTTGCTAAAAGAGTCGTGGGCTTTATTTTGTCACAATAAAATAATCAGACAAGACACTTATTCCCTATATGTCTCTTGCTCATTTCTTTCTTGCTTTCTTGTTCTTGCTCATACGCCAACAACTTTACCCTCACGTTCGCTCCATCGGCTCACCCCAGAGCGCGCTCACGTTTCGGCCGCGTGCACGCATACACGTCACATACTCTTCAATGCACATACTCTTCGATCGCAATTCCAAAAGGTTTAATATTGCAGTGCCCGTGACTGTGGTTCTCCTGCCTCTGTCTGTGGTTCTCCTGCCTCTGTCTGTGGTTCACCTGCCTCTGTCTGTGGTTCTCCTGCCTCTGTCTGTGGTTCACCTGCCTCTGTCTGTGGTTCACCTGCCTCTGTCTGTGGTTCACCTGCCTCTGTCTGTGGTTCACCTGCCTCTGTCTGTGGTTCTCCTGCCTCTGTCTGTTGTTCTCCTGCCTCTGTCTGTGGTTCTCCTGCCTCTGTCTGTGGTTCTCCTGCCTCTATCTGTGGTTCACCTGCCTCTGTCTGTGGTTCCCCTGCCTCTGTCTGTGGTTCACCTGCCTCTGTCTGTGGTTCACCTGCCTCTGTCTGTGGTTCTCCTGCCTCTGTCTGTGGTTCTCCTGCCTCTGTCTGTGGTTCTCCTGCCTCTGTCTGTGGACCTCTCTCACTGTCCTGTCATCGTTAACGGTCTCTGTCAGTCACAATATCATTCAGTGCATTTCTGGTGCATCCATCGATAGCCGTGATACTGACCAGATGTCACCAGTTGATGCTCAATGACTTTGAACAGCCGCATGTGTTTTATTATTAATCTTCCACAGTCCGTTTAGGATAACTTAAATAGAGGCTTCTGAAGCGGATTCTAATCATAAACGGAGAGACGTTCGCATTTTAACGCGATTACTGTCCCAACATTATTGCTGCTAATTCATGGATGTGGTCACTGTCTGTAGGAAAAATCTTCACATAATCTGCAGGTAGAGGATGACACATGGTCATGGATCTATAACAGGGATGACCCATGGTCATGGATCTATAACAGGGATGACCAGAGACCGTTCCAGACAAAAAACACATACTTTTAA